TCAATGTATATCAAAGATCTGCCCACCAAGATACTTGTCTATACCTACTGTATAAGTTGCTGAGATTTCATGAGTGTTTGACTAAATCTCAGCCATTTAATTTAAGGTGGCTTGGTTGTGTTTTACTAAACTAATTAGCAAGTTTTAATCATGAGAATCCAACGAAAAAACTTCTCAAAGGCCGAGTAGTGTTATTAAACACTTTGTTTCAATTTTAAAATCATTCTGAGCATTTATACTCTAATATCTGAAAGTTTGATGTAATTTTGTAAGGCAGTTTTTGTGTTAGCATGACTTTTTCAGCTGTTGAGTCTTACTTTATTCTGACTTACACTGTAGCAAAATTCAATAATTTTAACATGTCATCTCAATGTAAATTTGGTTTCATTCAATGTATATCAAAGATCTGCCCACCAAGATACTTGTCTATACCTACTGTATAAGTTGCTGAGATTTCATGAGTGTTTGACTAAATCTCAGCCATTTAATTTAGGGTGGCTTGGTCGTGCTTTACTACTAATTAGCAAGTTTTAATCATGAGAATCCAACGAAAACACTTCTCAAAGGCCGAGTAGTGTTCCCTTACAAAACCAAATTATATGGGACATATATGGACCAACTATGGGATTGATATGGTTCAACCTATGGGCCATATATGGGAAGTATATGGCTTTGGTGTGGCCTGGTTGCCTTCATAGCATACCCATATCATGTTTTTGATATGGGTTTGATACGTATTTGGTACAAATCCATACATATCCCATATGACTTGCTATGGGAAATACATGGGTTCCTTATACCATTTCATAACAACTTTGCTATGGGTAAGATAGGATTCTATATGGGAATGATCTGGGAACGTGATATGGAATTCATATGGTTCTTGATGTATACACTATGGGATTGATATGGTTCAACCTATGGGCCATATATGGGAGGTATATGGCTTTGGTATGGCCTGGTTGCCTTCATAGCATACCCATATCATGTTTTTGATATGGGTTTGATACGTATTTGGTACAAATCCATACATATCCCATATCACTTACTATGTGAAATACATGGGTTCCTTATATCATTTCATAACAACTTTGCTATGGGTAAGATAGGATTCTATATGGGAATGATCTGGGAACATGATATGGAATTCATATGGTTCTTGATGTATAAACTATGGGAATGATATGGGTGCAACAATTATCATATTATATTGGGAATGGTATGGGCACTTTTTTTCATCCCATACCAAACCCATGTTAACATCCAACATCCAAATGCTAGATGCTAACACGTGTGGGTTTGGTATGGGATGAAAACAAGTGGCCATACCATTCCAAATATACTTGCTACAGCTCAAGAAAATTGTACTGGTGGCATACATAGTTTTATTAACATGCAAAAAATCTTCAAAAACACAATACACAAATAAATAACATAGTTAATAAATAAACAAATAATTACAAAATTGCTAACTAATTTACTATTTCTTAATGAACTTGCAAAGTTTGTCTAACTAAATTACCATCATGATGGTATAACTATATATACAAACATGCAATAATGTCAATTGCTAAGTGCTTATTGATCTATATAAATGTATCGGTATCTATAATGTCCTCAGTCCTCTCAATTTGTGGGCTTGACTACAGACTATTCAAACTCTTTGTGGACGCCTGGCTTCTACACTTTTCATGTTTACTTTTTGTATCACCTGACTTGGTGTAGGGCCTTCATTAGAAAATCTTGCAGAGCAATATGCCCACTGGTGGCAATTCCAGAACATGACAGATCCTTCTACAACTTCTATCATCTGCAGGATGAAATAAATCAAACGTCAAGATTTTGCCAGATTTGACAAAAATGATTATACTGACAGAAAATTTATACCCTATATTCTGCAGCCAAATTTCCATCAAGCATTTTTGCACCATATTTATTATTTTACTCTGTCTAACGGAAAACAACTTTACTCTGTCAAATGCCAAATCATTATGTTTTACTATATGTCTAATGACAGACAATTTTATTTGTTAAGTGGAGAGTCTGGAACATTAATGGAACAAATATTTAATAAAATAACAAAGTACTAAAAGTAGGGCACATTGCTTCTAAATATGCCAACACAGCAGCTTTTGCGGTTAATTATTAACCTTTCAATAACCAACACTCATCTTGATGAGTAAAATCATCTGATAATTAACTATCAAAGTACTGAAGGTGGGGAGTGTTAGGATGAATTGCATCTAAATGTGTTAACAACAAACAATGCAAAATAGTCTGGTGTTAGACAGGCCAAAATATTGAGCTTTGAAATAGAGCAAATTAGTGTGAATTGGGTCTTAATGAGTTTACACATAACACTGGGGGACAACGAGATCAGTGGCATAACTACTATGGGCTCGGACCGTGAGAACCCGGGGGCCCCCAACCCCAACGGGGGCCCCCAGGCTCAGGCTATAGCCTATAGAGCAACAATGCCATTCTCTGACCATCAGAATTCTGTAAAATCTCTCCCCAAAGTCTGGGAAATGGCATTTCAGAGAGTCTAGATTCAAATATTTTCTGGGTGAGCATGCTCTGGACCCACTAGAAAACTTGTGCATATACGGCGCTCGACTTGTGGCTCTGGCAATTTTACTAGGGTGGCCTTCGAAAAGTTTGAACCGGGGGCCCCTTGACATAACGTTACGCCACTGAGCAAGATAACCTATCAAAGTTGTCCACTCTCTTTCACAAGTAAAATATTTGATCTGGTGTTAGACAAGGTAAAATAAAAAGTACTGAAAGTTGAGCATATTCATCCTAACGAGTTAGTGTGAAATGTAAGTAAAGAGTCTCGTTAACTTGAATATACCATCACATAGTTAAATGGCTAACATATTTTAATTCATATTGACTGGTGCAATTACACCTCTCCCAATGAAATATCAATTTTAATTTGATATCAGAATCTTAGGAAGGTTGCTGCTGATTTGAGCAAGTAGATAAATTTTCAAACTATATGTAATATGAGCATATAGTACTATATACCGGCGTGGATACACACTCAGAGTAACATCACATAAACATCTTATTCACCTGAGTACATTACACCAACACAGCAGATTTCATGATTATTAGATTACACTGATATCGAAGGAACTAGACTCAGTTCCGAAATATCGTATACTCGAACCGTCCTGACCGCGTAGCTCAGTTGGAAGAGCATTGGGCTAGTATTCCAAAGGTCGTAGGTTCGAATCCCGCCGTGGCCAGGCATATTTTTCAAGCCTGCCCGGCGTGGATACACACTCAGAGTAACATCACATAAACATAGTACTATATAGTCTATATGTATAGGCATGCTTAATGTCTGCAATTAATCTTGCATATACAGTTTATAGCATATACAAATATATTAACCAATAAACATTGAAAAGTCTAATTCAAATATAAAACTCTTATAGTAGCATTTTTTGAAGTATAAAAGACAGATAAATATATTTATATCAGCGTTCTAATCCATTATTGTCGTGGCAAATTCAAATTTTAAACCGATCGAAACACATGCTCCAATTTCACGAATGAATATTGGACTAGGTATTCCTTTATAATTTGCTTTTATAATAATATTATAAACAAAATATAAACATATGCTCACCTGAACATTATACAAACATCGCTGATGTAGTACTAGTGAAAATCCAGTTGAATCTCATCAAAAATAGTTCTATTTTGAACATATAAAGCATTCACAAACAAAAAATTTATAAAATATCGGAGGTGTGATGACCTATCCCAAGATGCTTTGTGCGTGTGGCAAAAAACTAGACACCAGTCTGCTGGTCGCGCACATTGCGGTAATTATTCATTTAATTAATGTTAGAATAAATTTATTTTCCAATCCTATAGGAATTCCTATAGGAATTTTTATTTCCTATATGTATATTAGTATATATATAGGAATTTCGTTTTCCTAAAGGAATTTTTTGACCATTTTCAAATCTTATATGAATTCTTATAGGAATTTTCAAATCCTATAGGAATTTCATTTCTTATAGGAATTCCTGTAGGAAATTTTCGTAAGTGTTGGCATAGCATTGCCATAGAAATCATATGCATATGTATGGATTCTCTATTGGAGGCCAGAACCACACCAAGTTCAGACTCCATATAATTCCCATAGATATGGGAAGTATATGGCACAACCAAGTGTGGACTACCATATAATTCCCATATATGGGAATTATATGGGACAACCAAGTGTGTACTACCATATAATTCCCATAGGTATGGGAAGTATATGGGACAACCAAGTGTGGACTACCATATAATTCCCATAGAATTGGTTATATGTAAAAGCATGCCATTGATATGGATTACCTATGGACCAAGTAACCCCACAGATTTCCCATAGGATTAATAGCAATGTGTTTGTTTCCATAGCTTTTCCATATCTCAATATTTAACAAATTTAGACACCATACCAATCCCACATGATATCTATTTTGTCCCATATCATGCCCACATATGGGTCATATATGGCCCAAACTTTGCCATATCTTTCCCATACTTTTGCTTTGGTAAGGGCATTGCTAAAGCTTTTTGTAATTATTTTGCTAACATTGGAAATGAACTTGAAAGCTCTATTCCAACAGTGAGCAAATCACCTTTAGATTATATTGATAAATCATTTTCAGACAGTTTTTTTATTTTTCCTACTTATACCTCTGAAATAGAGAAGGAAATAAGTAATCTGAACAGCAACAAATCTGTGGGACCTTGCAGCATACCAGTTAGAGTCCTAAAAATTCTAAATTGTGTTATTTCGAAACCTTTAGTAATTTTTAATTTTTCATTTTCCATTGGGATTGTCCCTAATAGTTTTAAAACAGGGATGGTGGTTCCAGTTTTTAAAAAAGGATGCTGCAGCCATTTAAATAATTATCGTCCAATTTCTCTTTTGTCTGTATTCAATAAGTTATTAGAAAAGTTAATGTACAATAGAATGCTAAACTATCTTGATCAAAAGCATATACTTTATGAGAAACAATTTGGATTTCGTGCCAAACATTCAACTAATCAGGCTATTTTAAGCATTGTAGATAACATACAAAGGGCGATTGAAAATAAAGAATACTCCTGTGGGATCTTTCTTGATTTTGCTAAAGCCTTTGATACTGTGAACCATGGTATTTTACTTAAAAAGCTGGAAATGTATGGTGTCAGAGGAGCTGCAAATGACTGGTTCAAGTCATATTTAAGTAATAGAAAACAATATGTTTATCTAAACAACACTGCCTCTGACTTATGTAGCCTAAACTGTGGAATACCACAAGGATCTGTTTTAGGCCCTCTTCTCTTTCTTTTATATACAAATGATTTTAATAGATGCTCTAATATATTTGATTTCCATCTCTTTGCCGATGACTCAAACTTATTTTATAAGCATAAAAATTTGTCTACTCTTGAATCCGACATAAATGGAGAATTGGATGGGATTAATGAATGGCTATGTGCAAATAGACTATCCCTAAATATAGAAAAATCCAATTTTGTTATTTTTCATCCCCCACAAAAGAAACTTTTGTTTGATCCCATTTTAATAGTAAATGGAAAGCACCTTAAACGAGAATATAGTATAAAATATTTAGGTATTTTTATAGACTCCCATCTTAATTGGAAGTCTCAAGTTAATTATATTGCTAAAAAAATAAATCGTAGTATAGGGATATTATCCAAACTAAGATATTATCTGAATAGACACACCCTAATTACATTATATAACACTTTGATTTACCCATTTCTGATATATGGCATCACAATATGGGGAAACACCTATTCTTCTACTGTTCAACCTCTACTTATTCTTCAAAAAAAGGTAACCCACATTATAACTTTCTCGCAATTTGATGCTCATTCTACTCCTCTCTTTAAACATCTTAAAATACTTAAATTCCCGGATCTCGTCAATTTTCATACGGCAATATGAAATTATAATAATATTTATGAATAATATTTATACACAAATTTTATAATAACAAGCTATCATCATTTTTTTCTGATTTCTTCACTCCTGTCAATCAGATTCACAACTATAACACACGACTAGCCTCTAAGATATCTTACTTTCTTGACACAGTAAGGACAAATTACGGACTATTTAATATTAGATTTCAAGGAGCTAAGATATGGAACTCAATTGACAATAATATAAAATTGCTGTCTGCTTATCAGTTTAAAAAGAAAATTCTGGAAATATTTTTCCTCAAATATTGACTTTTTGAAATGAGTCTTTATTGTTCATAATATCTTTAAGTTTTCAAATATTATATTTCTATATTAATCTTATATAATTTCTATAATTGTATATTAAATTCTACCTATGTAAGATTTATATTTATATTAATAGCCTTGTCTAGGTGTGTGTTTATGTATTCGTCTGCGTGTTTGTTTTTCTACTATATATGTGTTACGACCTACTGATTATTTATATTCATATCAATATTTATTAGCTGCTTGGTCTCTAGCCTTATGGTTATTTTAAGTAGCTAGTACCCATTTTATTTAATCATTAATTGTGTAAAATGTTTATATTTTTGCTGTTCTAAAGGGTACAAATAAAAGGTCATTATGGTGAAGAAAAAGTGCTTCATAAACAATATTGCTTTTAAAATTAGCTACTACGATTTTGTACAGTTGAGGGCCCAAAATCTTTTCATGATCTTTATCAGCAAAAATTTAGGAATTTGCTTTAACTGTTTAAGTTTTTTTGTTAACGAGTCCCTATGGTTTGAGTTGCGATATGGAATTGCATATTAATCATTATATGTCAAATTTCACTTGGCCAGGTTACAATAATTGTCTTATGATTTGTATAATGTGCATGTTTGTTTTGTGTTTATTCTGACAAAATTACTAATACATACAGTGTTGCTTCAGAGCAATAAAGCAATTGGCTTCACGTTCTGCAAAATAGCCTTGATAAAACATTTAAAACAGAAAAATGTTTTGAAATTGCGAGCTTAAATATATGAATATAAAATCTTAAAATCTGAGAAATAAGTTGCATATGTTGCGAAGCTTACTCACTATAAACTCGTGATGAATGAACTCACTAATTCTTGACGAGGAGCCTTTGTTAGAATTGATACGTTGAATTTCTGCATATTTTTAAAGTAGTAAAATACCCACACCTGTGAGCAAAGTAAGCCTTTCAAAATGACCTACTTTGGTGTTATATTATGCATGCTTCTAGGTTTTTTATTCCACTATATTCGTACATTATAATTGCTACATGTAATATGTATAAATAAATACGATCGTTTGTAAAAATAACCAAGTATTAGAAAAACACTTACAGTGTGATCCATTTCAGATTTGTAGTGTTTTCTATAGATAAATCGAGACCAAGTCTTCTTCGTGAGGGATTTGATGTAATAACAGCATCTGTAGGCAATTCCCTCTTTGAATGATTTTCCAGAATTTTTTTGTGTACTGGTCTTCTTCCTTTAAGTAGACTTTCCTTCCTTTGTTGGGTTATCTTGAGGGCTAAGCTAGCTTATGCTTCTATGGCACAACTTACATATAATGTTAAGTCCCTTCCCTTCAAAATGCTAATTGAAAAATAATTTTCTACACCTTCGCAATACGATGTCTTTTCATCCCCTTTGAAAAGTCTAATTGTGCAGTCGGTTGGGTTTTTGAATGTCTGTTAATATGTTTAAAACAAACAATACAGTGCATGCATCTGAATTCATTCAATTCACTTTTGTCTACAACTTTTACTGGTGTTATATTATTTTCCGCCATAATATATAATTTTGTTATATAAATAAAAGTGAAATGTCTTAATACTATTGTCGGGATTGCTTCCCCGACAAAGAAATCACTCACTCACTAACGTTTACAAAAGATTATATTTTTCGCTTCACGAATCACAGAAATATCTCGCCCTTTTGAAATCTAAATTCTCTTACACTACCCCCCACAAAGCGTCCTCGCGTGGTAATCACACGTGCGAACCAAATGAGGTTAAACAAAATGAACTATATGTTTTTCGTATTATAAAGTACTTAAAGGTCTCCGACACTCTCCCCCCATTGTACACGATTAGTGGGGAATGTCAAACTAAATGTCCTCATCCGCCGTCCAAAGTTTTATCTTCTCTTTTGCCAACACAGCCGCCAACTCTTCTGGGTTTGAATTCTCTAGCACCTGGGTCTAGGCTCTTTGGTTCTTCGCGATCGTCCTGCTTGGTTGACTCGGTTGACAATTCTAGAGGGTAAAGATCTTGTATCGGCCGGTCGATCGTCGTTTTCCGTGATCTCATTCGAGCGCCTCACACCACTCCGTCACGTCCCTTAATCAGCTTCGTAACTATGCCGATATTCCATTTACCACGATTTCTACTGTCGTTCTTGATTAACACTACTTCTCCGACCGTTGGCATTTTATTCTTTCCCTGGTGTTTAAGGTTGTGTCGTTCTCTAAGGGCTCTCATATACTCCCACGTCCATCTTTTCCATACAGCTTCCTTACTTCGCAGTACATGCTTTGCACGTCTTTTGATCTCTTCTTCTTCCGTCGAATCCCTTTCTTCGTCAGGAAGAACATACGATTCACCAGTTATCATCAGATTAGGGGTAAGAACTGACAACTCCACATCGTCTTCTACGTAAGTAAGAGGTCTGTTGTTTAAGCTGATCTCCACGTCTAACACGACTTCCTCGAGTTCTTTCCACTTCAAGTGCGACGCTCCTATCACCTTGTACAAAGATTGTTTCACCAGACCAACAATTCTTTCATACTGACCGCCCCACCACGGGGCCTTGCTCAGATTAAACTGCCAGGTAATAATGTTGTTCTTTGCGAGAAAGTCATTTACTAGCTCACTCTTGGAAATCTTCCGGATTCTATTAGCCGCCGCCACGAACGTCTTGGCATTATCCGAGTATACTTTTTCTGGTTTACCTCTTCTCGCTACGACTCGCTTTAGACTACGCATAAACTCCTCGGTCGACATGTTCGGTAATAGTTCCAAATGAACTGCTCTCGTCAGACTACACACAAATAAAAGTAGATAAGTTTTGACTTAGTTCCTGATCGGTTCTTGTACAGGAATGGGCCCGCGTAGTCGACTCCGATCACTTGGAAGGGTCTGGCTCCCTGCATGTTCGGTCCTTGGGTAGGTTGCCTGTGGGTGGTTTGTTAAAGGGGGTTACTTGAAATCTCTTACATCCGTTGCAATTTCTTCTCACTTTTTTCGTTAATTGACGTAGCCGTGGGATCCAGTAGCGTTTCCTCACCGCAGCCATCGTCATTCCGACTCCCCCATGTAAGGTGCACACATGTTCATGCATCACGATCTTCTCTGCCAGTTTTGATGTGGGAGGAATATATGTGGGGTAGTCGCCTTGTATTCGCCCTTTGCACACCAACAAGCCTGATTCATTCTCCTTCAGGTTGAGACCATGTTTATCTTCTTCTAGTTGTTCAGTGTCATCGTATCGCAACTGTTCCTTCTTTATCCATCAATTGACTTGTTCTTGAATTTCCTCGGTGGTTAACACTCCCCGACGCCGTTCCGTTGGCTGCGATCTCAAATTGAACAGGAATTGTGCTATCCAAGCAGTTATCCTCATCGCCTTCCAATAGCTATGTTTCTCGAGAACTCCGTACATCACCTCAGCTTCTCCATCCACTGCACAGCTTAACACTGCTCTTTGATCCAGCTTCAATTCAGCCTTAGATACATCTGTCGCCGGGGTAGCGATCTCTGGTGGCCAGTCATTCGGGTTGGACAGCCAAAGCGTACCATTGAGCCATTCGTTTGGAATTTTGTCACCTGCGCAACCTCTACTACCAATATCGGCTGGGTTTTCCTTCATTCCAACGTGTCGCCACTTTATGTAACTCTTTTCCTTGATCTTCTTTACCCGATTCCGTACGAACTGCTTGTAACTCCCTTCGCCATTGATCCAGTGTAGAGCTACCGTACTATCCAACCAACCGCAACAATCTTGCACCAGGAATCTCGTTAATACATTTCTCACGTTGTCTAGTAGATTTGCAGCCATTGGTCCCGAGACAAGTTCTAGCCTGGGTATAGTTAAGTTCTTCTTCGCCAACCATGCCTTTGCCGTTATCAAACCTTGCATGACTCCTTGTTCTTGGTTCACCACCGCCTAAACTGCCGCAGCTGTCCCTTGGCCACTGGTATCACCGAAGGCATGCAGATCTATCGAACAAATCTTGTCTTGATGCATTGTCAGACTTCTGGGTACTTCAATTTGCATTGGAAGATTTGCATTCCATAATTTCCACCGCTTCATGATGGCTTCCGGCAGTTCGTCATCCCAAAGTCCTCGAGAGTCGCACACGTCTCGATATATGAATTTGCCGGGTAGGGTTACTGGTGCTGCTAGTCCTAACAGATCGAATATGGAAGCTAGCTTGCTGAGAACTGTTCTCTTAGTGTCCTCCTTTGACTCCACATCAGGGAATACCACTGCTAATTGATCTGTGGACTTGTTCCACTTCATGCCCAACAACTTGGTCTCATCGTTCTTTACTCCCAGTTGCTGTTTGGCAAAGCTTGGTTCCGTCTCGGGATCATGTCCTCCAGGTGCTTCTAAACTTGGCTCGTTCGAGTGCCATTTGTGCAACTGGAAATGCACTCTGTCAAAGATTTCGATTGCGGTTTCCTTTAGCGATTCAACTTCAGTCACCGTACTACCACCACCTAAGATATCGTTTACGTATAAACTGTCCTTAATCTCTACGACTTAGTCAGGGAATTCTTCTGCTACGCTCGTTAGGTGCTGATCTAGTGTTCCTCCGAGAAGAAATGGGGACTGATTCAACCCGAAAAGTGCTCTGGTAAATCGATAGACTGCAACTTATTGTGGATTTTCTTCATCAATCCAGTGGAAACGCAGTACATCCCTCTCTGATTCTTACTTGAAGAAAAGCTTGCTTCAAGTCTCCTGATAAAGCAACTGGTTTGAAGCGATTTCGCACGAGAATATCCAACAGTAGATTTTGCAGGACCGGGCCTGTCTCTAAACAATCGTTCAAGGAAGGTGAATCATCAGACTCTCGCGCGGACGCGTCATTAACTATGCGTACTTTCGTTGTCTCGGCTGACTCTTTCACCACAGGTTTGTGAGGAATATAGAATTTTCGTTGATTCGACTCTTGGGGTGCCTTCTCGATTATACCTTGCCGCTGCTGGTCCTTAATTATTTCCTGGTACTGTTTCATAACATCTGGCTGCTTCTCCAGTCTCTGTACTAGTTTGGTCAGCCTCGCTCGACTTCCCCGCTCATTGCTTGGTAAATCCTCCATTCCAGGCTTCCAGAGAAGTCAGTTTCGTACCAGCCCTCCTTACTCTGTCTCAATTGCTCTTTAAAGTCCTCGTAAATTGATTGCTCTTCGTTTGGAGACTCTTGAAGACCAAGGACATCAAGATCACATAGCTTCTGGTAGTCGTGCATTGAGGTCTTCGTAAATAACATCTTAGTAAAATCATCATCTGTTCCTGGGGACATTATGGTCCACCTGAACTTCGTAAACTCCCCAACTGGCTCTCCGGTTTGACCTACACGTGGTTGGGAAGACGTTTTTGTCTTCGCATAATCACTTGCTCCTAAGATTAAATGAATCGGAAGTTCTTCCTTCTCGTCTGTATCGTCCATTGTTACTCCTTTAAGGTGTTCAAACCGTTTGATTGTTTCGTTGTACTTAGGATTTGGCAAACTTAACAGATTACTTCGTTCTACTCTGGTAACTTCCGTCTTAAGGACAAACGAATCATTCACATCAGTGACTTCTAACTTGTGTACATCAATTGTTTTGTTAGATGTTTGCATCATCATCTCGATTTTCCTGAACTCTCGTCACTCTGGTTTGCTGTTAAGACGTTGTAACAGGGCAGCAGATGCATAGGAGCTCCCAGCCCCTGTGTCCAACAGTGCTCTGCATTTAATGCCCCCAGCTTTCACCACCACCACCGGATACATCACTTTGCCTTCACCCTGTGCAACCAACATTTGTTGCACTGGTTGTGCCTCACATATCGATGTGTGATGTTTCTTCTTGCATCGTAGACATACCCGTTTGACTCCGACAATCTGCCGCCTTGTGTCGAGCGCCGTACAGTTGAAACACCGCTGTTTTTCACCCAGGATCTTCCTTCGATCTCCCACTGAAACCACCTTTTTGCAGTCAGTTGATCTGTGGCTAGGGTAAACATGATCTCGACTTGTGCTCTTGCTGTCTTGTTTGGAAGTTCTTTGATCTATTTGTCCATCTCTGATTTGATTTATCCAGTTCCTGATCTCGTTTAAGTGGATTTTGCTCCGTCCATTTCCTTAAGGCTTCAATGAGTTCGGGAAACTTCCAGTTCTGCCAGTCATCATCCGTCCTAACCAAGTCACTCCTGATACCTTCGAGCTTGTCTAAAGTCATTATAACAAACCCCGACACCTCAGTCAATTTGCCCAGAGTTTCCAATGATTGGACACTTGTTAACAATGTCTCATAGAATGCATGGATCTTGTGTGGTTGGCTACCCGGAATAGTTGGTAATCCAATAATATTCTGAACGTATGAGCTGATAAGTTCGCTATCCTTTCCATATTTGGACTTTAGTATGTTATTTGCTCTTTCATAGCCCTCTGTAGTGAAGGGCAGACCATCTACACAAACACGTACTTTAGGATCAAGCAGTTCCTTCAAGTATGAAAACTTAGTTACCTGGGCAATGTTGGTTCCATTGATACCAGTCTGGAACTGATTCCAGAACCGCAGCCAATCAGTTTGCACTCCCTTGAACTTTGTGATAACAAGCTTGGGAAGTTTTGTGTACAGCTTCGACGCTTTCTCTTCATTCTTCGAACTTTCCATTGACTTCTCAAAACTAAGCCTTTGCTGCAACTTCGCTTCCTCAAATTTCATTTCCTCCTCGTATTTCTGATGACGTATTTTAGAAGCTAAGTCCTCTTCCTCCCGTTTGACTCGCTCACTTTCAGTTTTCTGAATATCCCTAATAACCGAGTTCAACTCTAACACACTAGCCTCATATTTACTAATGTCACTCTCTATCTTGCTGCTCCATTCTTTGATGTCTTGAATGTTCTCTCCTTTCTCTATCTTTGCTTCTTGTATCTTTGTTTCCAGGTCCTGGATCTCATCGATTTTTCCTTGCAAGGTTTTTAAATTCCGTTCCATGGTTCGGGACATGTCGTTTTTCTAGAGCTTCCCTTACACTCTCATTTGTAAATTCCAGCATTTGCAGTTTAGTATTTACCGATTTCAACAATGTTTCCATAGTTGCCCTTGATGGGCAAGATTATATACAATTTGTTTGATCAATCCAGTTATATTGAGGTCTTCAATTTCTGTAAAAGTGTCCCAAGCACACTGTCCGATAGATAATACTCTAGCTGATTCAATATTAAACCACGATCCTGAATAAACCTTTACATGATTCAGCCACTCATTAGAACCCAAATGATAAATTGTTTAATCACTCCAGTTACGTACTGAGATCCACCACGCTACAATATTTATACAGAACAACTCACCGTCCAAAATATTCCTTTTCGCAATTTAAATAATGTATTGATGTCCACTTCGAAAATCCCAGAAGATATGCTCGATAACCAATAACAATCCTTCATTTAATGAATAAAAATTCCAGTTAAAGTGAATATTCGCTGAGAAATTTCAATAAATATACTCACAACGTCAACACTAGTTGCCCATGTTTACACGTTAAAATCAGCACAAAATCCCGTTTAAATTCGATATTTCTTGTATGTTATGTCCCATCGGCGGTTGCCACTTTGTCAGGATTGCTTCCCCAACAATAAAGAAATCACTCACTCACTAACGTTTACAAAAGATTATATTTTTCGCTTCACAAATCACAGAAATATCTCCCCCTTTTGAAATCTAAATTCTGTTACACTACCCCCCACCAAGCGTGCTCACGTGGTAATCACGCTCGCGAACCAAATAAGGTTAAACAAAATGAACTATATGTTTTTCGTATTATAAAGTACTTAAAGGTCTCCGACACTATTAACAGAATGCAGTAATATTTATTAGTAGCAGGCCGTTAATTGAGAAGTCTCCCCCCCCCCCCTTGAATGCTTTAAAGTGAGATGCCATTAATATTCTGAATATTAATGAGCGGAGAATTTTACAAGCCTCGCTCGTTTTTCGTTTGAAGCTCAAAACTTATCTCATAATAAACTGGATAAACCCATTCGAGCAAGTCTAATCTACATCAGCTGCTTGGTTCAACTGACCCTTCTGACACTATCATATATGCTATCTACATCTAATAATCATATGTATCCCTCTCAAATAAGCCGCCTCTCTAATAACCTTTTAAGAGGAACCCCTCTCTCTTTAACTCTCCCCCCTGCACAAAAGCACATCTTTTTATGGGATTGAGTGATTTTTTTATTAGATTAATCAGCATTTCTTTTTTGGCTCTGTCACTATGCAAATGGTATAATGTTGCATATATTATAATAATACTACAAACTAACAAGCAATAGTCAACAGGAATTTTGTTTGGTGCTTGCATAAAGTTGTCTAAGATTTTATGGATAATTAAATATAAAACCCTTTCTCAAATATAATAAAGTACCCCTCTCTAATAAGCCCCCTCAAAAGAGCCTGAAAAGAATAAGCCTATACTTATTAGAGACTACACAATAACTAACATCGATGTCTATTCATAGTACTTTATTATCATAATATTTTAACAGGCCTAACTCGCAAAGTGATAGAATGTTAGTTATAGTTATAGAATGTATATGTGTTAAAAATTATAGAATGTATATACAGAATACACAGGTCAGCCCAGAATGAAAAAGGTTAGTCATGCACCTAGTAAAAATTTAAATATTCTGTGCTAAAATGCCTTTTTTAAAACTTATCAGCGTATTAGCCTGTCTGATATGTTTTGGTACACTATTCCAATCCTTTACTGCCTGAACAATGAATCTTTGCTTCCCCCAGTTTGTCTTTGCTTTTGGGGCTGGAATATTCTCTGAACCTCGCATGTTATAACTGTGTTTGGCATTTTTTCTGAAGTCATGGTCAACATTAACCAAACCATTTAAACATTTATACATTGCAACAAGACAGTGAAAACTACGGTGAAAAATTTCCATGACAACTGATCAAAAGTTTGAGTTGCTGATGCATACCATACTTTGGCAAATTGAGTGTAGTATAGGCTGCATTGTGTTGTAGTATTTGAACTTGATTCATCAAAACAGCATTATTTTTGTCACCCAATACCACATCAGCATAATCAAAACAGGGTAAAATTAAACTGTTATATAAAGTTATTCTTGCATCACAAGGAAGTAAATGTTTGACTCCTTGCAGAACTCCTAACCATTGACAAACTTTTGCATTCAGATAATCAATACATTCCAACCAATTCATGTTCTTGTGCATAATAACATCTAGATAGTTCAACGACTCCTCCCCATCAACTTGGCATCATGTCTTTATTTTCAACGACATTTGGTTTTTATGTTTGCCAGTTTTTGATGATTTCTAAAGGCAACAAACCTGCTTTTAGATTAGCGGACCTAGCACACTTCCCTGTGGCACTCCAATGTGTACAGGTTTAGTGGTTGAATGGACATTATCGATTGCAGTGACTTGAGTCCTTTTAGTAAGGTATGATTTAAGCCAATCTACAGAGGTGTCTGCAAATCCAGCGATCTTCAATTTATCTTACAAAATTCTGTGATCAGTGGTATCGAAAGCTTTTGTTAAGTCGATTGAAACTACTCCAGTAAGAAGTCCTTTATAAACTCGTGGAAGTTTCTGCAGCGGTTCAAACAAAACCAGACGCTGTTGACAGCAGCACCACGGCAAAAGGAAAGCGTTCCAATGGACATTTTGAATTTTACTGATGCGCAAATGGAAAGCAACAATGAGTTAACATCCCCAAGACTTCAACAATTGATCGAAACAAACTTTGGCTGGAAGTTTTTGTGCTTGAAAATTAAGAGATTACATAGGAAGTTAGGTTGGCTGGCCATAGGGTCAAAATATTGCCAACTTGTGAAAGAAGTTAATCAACCCAAGCAACTAGAATTCGCTCAAAGATATTTGATTAACAAAGTTAATTTTTGATGACATCATTTTTACAAAGAAAGTTCAATCCAAATGGAGTGGCATGGGAAAATAACTTTTTATTCTTGGTGGTAACCACAGAGACAAAGGGGAGTACCAAAGCATCCATATAAAGTCCATGTTTAGGCTGGCATTTTGAAGCATGGAGCAACCAGGATAACCATTTTCACTGGATGCATGAATGCAGTATTTTTTGTAGAAACGATTTTGAGAAAAACTTTGCTTCCATTCATTTCAATGCATTTCCCAAACGGCAATAGTTTTTTCAACAAGACAACGATCTGAAGCATACAAGCAACCTAGCAAAATCCTTCTTCGAGGAAGAAGCGGTAAATTGGTGGAAAACACCGCCAGAACTTGTGTGGCATGAACTTAAGCATCATCTAAGAACAATTGTCAAACCAGGAACGAAGGACGGCATTACCCAATCTTAGGGCTCAAGCAATGACTGTTGAAAAATGGAAGCAGTAGAACATGCAGGACGTGCATCAGGTTGTTAAATGTGAACCTCCAGGTTTTTTTAGTCATTTAGCATTGAATATACGCAAAATATAGTTAAAAATGTTAGTAATTTTTTTAAATGAATTATGTCGCAATATGCGATTGCCTCAAAATAGAATCAATGACAAAAGGCTCAAAATAGCAAATTAACAACAAATCAATATGTGTGTGTTTTGTCAAAACTAATAAACAATTGTCAATACCTACAATACAATTCACAAAACAACATTTCAGTGTCCTTGCTTTTCACAAACAATGCAAGGAACTATGAAACTAAGCATGCCAAAAAAATAAGTACATATAGTATAGAAGCATTGCAAATAATTTATTCTATCCATTCAATTATCACAAGCTAGATATATTTAGCGGGAAAATTTGGCAGGGAACTTTACAGTTCACTTTGCGTCTTGGTTTACCTAAGTAGTAGACATTCTTCTGATAATTTGGCATAAAGAGTCATTGTCATTTTTGTGATGGAACTATTAGCTAGGCAAGTTAAATATTTGACTAAAATATTCAAACTTTTAATAAAACTGTTTAATATGGCGAAAAGGTTTAGATAACAATGCATTTCTGCAGTTCTGGTTGTGTGCCACGGGCAATGTCATTCATTATTAAGTTATATTTAATAAAGCTATCATAGATTCAAGTTTTGTTATTATTCTAGCATAGGTAAAAACTAACAGATCAAGACAAAATGCCCTCTTCATATGCACATGTTTTGTCAATGAACAATACCTACACAACACAAAACATTTCAGACTTGGTGTTCGGTTTTTGACAAATGACCGATGAGTCATCAACTCTAAGAAGACTATATATAAGGTTGGAAATTTTCATTCAGTGTCATTCTGTACATCCCAGCAATTGCGAAAACATTCCTCTGGCACTCGTCAAAGTGTCAAAATGCTTCGTCAACTGACATTTAAAGTATGCAGTGGTATATTTTTCTGTGAATCATTCTGTCTTGCGAATTTCAACAAAAGATGTTGTCATGGTCGACGATGGCGGAGAAATGAGGGAAAAATCTTTTTGTCCTGGTCAAATGTAGGAAGGAACGCTCTTACAGAAAGACAAAGAATTCGTATAGGCCACTACCAACGGCAAGAATGTTTTGAACCCGCTGCACCCTTACCACCAGAACGGCGCGAACCGCGCACAGAACAGTTTGTACCTGCAGCAGCACCGCCACCACCACGGCGCCCAGCAAGACGGCCACCATTACAAAATGCTGAAATTACCTCAACAACTCGGGCCACCGAAGCTCGTCCTGTGGAGGTGATTGTCATCAGCGATGATGATATCTGATTCGTGATTGCCGGCGTGAGCGGCGCGCACCGCTGAGCTCCGTAAATTACGTGGGATTTTTGCGTCTTTCTTTGGATTTTTAACAGCATTACGCTGCAGAATTGTGAATAAAAGTTGTGTACGTGGATAATATAAGGTATTTTTACGAATATTCCGAACAGTTGCTGAATAATTGGTGCTTTTTCGTTGTTATTTGCACCGAATTTGGATTTTAAGTTATTTTTTCCTGAACGCGCAAGTCGAGGACCGTTGGCTGACGAGTACAATCGAGCACGCCATTGCGCGTGCTTTAATTAATTGAGCACGTGCGTGGAAAAGAACATTGAATTAGAACAAATTCGAACAATTGAGTGAAAATTCAAGATGTTTTTAACTAAATTCAGCTACATTATTATATTTCTGTGGATTATTTTTCGACGTAATCAAATTACTGGAGAAATACTGAATGCTTCTTGTGCAAGATCGAAATTTGTCAATTTGGAGTGTCCCAGTTTAGACAACGCGTATGTTATCACCAGTGTTTTGAATATAACGGACACAACTGAAATTTTATATTCTTTTCTGTTACGTCGCGTTCTGAAAACTAAACGGCACAGTCAACTGAAAGCTCCTTTACGTACATCCCAAGTTAACTGGACTAAACATGGACAAATCTATTTGTCGCCCCCGGATTTTCACAAGAACATCGATCTTACTGTGTATATGGATGTAGAGTCTAATCCCGGTCCAGCTGAGTCTGAGAGTAATTCCCAATCAACCAATAAAGTCAACACAGCAAAAACATCGTCAAATGAAGGCAACATTACGATCGCTTACCTAAATATCCGTTCCCTAAAGAACAAAGAGCACCACTTACTGGTAAAGGACTTTGTCCTGAAACAGAGATTGGACATTTTCACTATCTCAGAAACTTGGTTGGACAACTCTATCACTGATAGTGAAATTGAATTTCCGGGATATGGTCTATTTAGACTTGATCGTGACGGAAAGAGAGGAGGTGGTGTCTGTGCCTATATCAACCAAAGTTTCAAATGTGAGACCGTGAATGAACTATCCTATATTGCGGACTCTGGCTTACATCAGTTATGGCTACAGATACAAGTTATGAACTTCAGATCATTTTTCGTATGTACAGCTTACCGTCCACCTGGTACTAGTTTATCTTGTTTTGAGAATATTTCAGTGAAACCTTAATGTCAGCTTTGTCCTTTAACAAACCTATCTACATCCTGGGGAGATCTCAACTGCAATGTCCTAGATACGAATGACCCGGGACACCGCTCTCTTTTAGATTTCTGCACTTGTTTCAACCTGACACAGTTGGTTGATAAACCCACCAGAATTACTGAACATTCCCGTACATTGATTGATGTAATCCTTACCTCTTCAAAGAATAACATGAAGCAAGCGAAAGTCATCCCGAATTCAATAAGCAATCACGATGTGGTTATGTCAACCCTGACCCTGAAGAAGTGTCGTCCAAAGCCCGTCTATGTCTCTGTCCGAAGTTTCAAGAATTACAACCCAGAGGCCTTTTGTGAGGACATATATAATGCTCCATGGTCCGTCATTAACAACTTTGACGATGTCAATGACAGTTTGAATGCTTTTGATGTGTTATTTAATGGGATTCTTGATCAACATGCACCAGTCAGAAAAGTTAAAGTGAGAGTTCGTCCACATCCCTTTGTTACAGAAGAGATTCAAAAGCTGACGAGAATAAGAGATTGTTGGAGAAAAATAGCTCGGAAAATTGGTGATCCTGTGCGTGGTCTACTTACAGGGACTACAAACGGGATGTTAAACGGAAATTACGTCAAGCACAAAGATTGTATGTGGAGCAGGAAATAAAGAAGCACCCAAAGGACACAGGCAATATGTGGAAAGTAATTCGAACATGTATTCCCAAGAAAACTACTGGAAAGAAGTCATTCAGTAATGATGATAAATCTGTCACAAATAACTTTAACGAATTTTTTACAGCTGTCGGTTCAAACACCGTCATGAAAATTAAATCACTTGCTAAAGAAAATAATTACACTCCCTCCCAATTACCATTTGCCCCAACCAGTTACACCGAGTTAGATCAGTTTACCTTTGAACCTGTGGAATGTTCCTTAGTAGAATATATTGTGAAGTCAATGCCTGATAAGAAGGCACCAGGAATAGATA